AATGCCATTGGTCTATCCAGAAGTCTGTCAAACTGTTCTCAAGAGTTTGAAGTTGGGTGAAGATGATCGTTTGCTTTTTTTTTTTTGGTCAGTCTTATCCGGAGATTACTGTGATTGAACCTAGGATCTTTTAAATGCAACAGGTTTTCTATTCCCTTTTCCTGCTTATTAAGAGAAGAATCAAAGCATCCTTCTCAAGTTCCAGCCATTGAAGCTACTAGCCTTTGACTTTAACTTTTTAATTGCAAAAAAAACAGAAAGAAATTTAGCAGCATAAATCTTGAAAACCCCAATATAATTTACATTGTGTATTTCAGATACCACAACCCCTTGAGTCTATTATTGAGAAATCACTCTTTGAAGAAGAGAAGGAATCCATCAAAGATAATGTAGTTTATCTGAATTCCCTGATAACCAGAGGGGTTACAAAGAAACTTAATATCACTTTCACACCACAGAGAGTAAGTACCACTATAAAATAGGACTAGAGTTATAATTCACTGAGCTTCCAATTTTATGGATTATTTTTCTGGTGGGTGCTCATATCTATTAGTTTAGATTATTGTATTCATTTTGTCCTGTTCAGTTTATATTTCCCATTTGTTCCAAATCGGGTGGTTCAAAATCCTAACAAATGACAAAATCCTAACAAAAGCATGACAAATGCTAATGTCATTAAGCCATTGGGATAATGAAAATATGCTGCCTGCAAAATTACAATCTCAGGGATGATATTACAATTTCCTAATGCCCTCCAGATCTTGAGGCATCCATGGTAGATGGTTGTGTGTGTCAAAGAATAAATATGGTAGATACAGCAGACAAGGGTTCCATTTGCGTAGTTGTTGTCACCATCTTTCCTTTTTTTAAACCTACCTCCATCTTCTTCCCATCCAGTTCTATAGAGTTAGGGTTAGGAATCCTTCTGATAATTAGAATAGTTGATTTTCTCTAAGGCGGCTTGTTGGGAAAAGTTATTCTAGATCAAGGATAGTCAGATAATTATTATTATCAAACCAAATCTTGACCTTAAATGAGGACCCACATTGTTGGGGGCAAATATGCTAACTCTGTAAACCACTTAGGGCTGTAAAGCACTGTGAAGTGGTATATAAGTCTCAAGTACTATTGCTATTGCTTTGAGTGTACTGAATATAATGAAGTAGAAATAACTTACACACCATTATTCATTACTGTTTATTGATAACATACTGCTAATTATTAAACATTGCCAGTTAGGGAATTGGTTAATGAGACAAACACATGCCACATAGATGCTACGCAACCATATTTTGATGATAGGTTTGATATCAATAGATTGAGAGTTCCAGACAATCATTCTAGGACATTCGCAATAACTTTGCTTTTTTCAGAGCAGATCGATATGATTCCTTAATATATCATGCTGCATATTGACTAAGAACTGCTTTTCTTTTTCCAGTCTTGGAGTCCTGAAGCAACCACAAAAGATCTTCTCAGAAAGAGGGAATTACGTCGGCAGCGTTTTACTTATGAAGTGGACTTTGATGATGATTTCATGATGCCTTTTAAGAAGAATTTCATGGAGAAAGTCCATGCACTGCAACAAGGCAGTGCTTTGCATTAATCACAATGTGATTTCTGCATGGATCTTTAAAAAGTGAATGGGAGAGGACCTCCCTCTCAAGAAAAATGCTTTGGAGAGGCCTAAATCATGTGTTTTTTTCTAATTATGATGAATGTTTTATTTTATTTTCCTTGGGTTCAGCACAGGGCATCTTAAACCAGAGGAGTTTTTGTGTCTAAAAATTGGGAAACAATCCATCTTTTCCTGTAATGTTACACTGAATCCTATTGGGCTGAGCTGATATATTAGCCCCAATAAACAACTAATTGCTCTCTCCTGTTCAATGAGATCTTAATTTATCCCATTCCTTGGGAAAAAAATGATTCACTCCCACCGTGGAAACTTGAAGCAAATTATTTCTAGTGCTCTAAATCTGAGTGACTGAATAAGTTGTCTGATAGTTCAAATCTAGGGCATCTGAAGGATTTGGTACAAATCCACTGGATTTTTTCCCTTGAGACTCATACCCTGGAAGAATGCAAAATAGGTCTTTTTTTCTGTTAAGGTACATTTAGGGCAGGGAGGTGTTTGGTTTTAACAGTGCAGGAGAGAGATTGATTTTGACTACAGCCCTGTGCCAGATAGTTGTAAACAAATATATTGTTACAGATTTACGAGGGGAGGAGATTTCAGTTGTTTAGGAACAAGTTACACGTTCAAAAGCTTCTTCATTGCCCTTCACGGCTGAGGTAAAATTTGCATATTGTCGCATTCTTCAGATCAATCAGGAGATATCAGTAAAGGCAACAGCAAACTGAGATGATTTCATTGGTGTTGTGTTTTCCTGCACCTTACTCATAGTGTTTTAAATTGCGACTGGCAATGAAGTACCAGACATCATCACAGACGCTCTGCGCATGCGCAGAAGGTTCCAAACCGGGAACGAAGGTAAGAGGATTTCATGCCTGGACTAAACCTAAATGAAGGCAAAGTTTCTGCAACAATCATCTTTAGTGTTGGGCTGAAAGAACCCAGAACAATTATGATTATGGAGAAGCTAAGGAAAATGTTAATCATATTCCAATTGTCTTCTCTGCTGCTCGCTGTTGTTCAATATTCCAAAACTATTTTAAGCTCAAATGTCTTTGCTTTGTTTTGCACCTATTTTGTGAACCTCTATTATGACTATGGTTCGCTTTCAACCATGCACATTCTCATCTGCAACAATTTTTCTTTTTTTTTAAGTAGTAATTTTATTAGAAATTACAATTAAAAAGATAAAAACAAATGCAAAATGAAAGAAATAAAAGTATAAAAAAGAAAAGAGAAAGGGCAGAAAAGAGAAAACAAAAATAGAAAAAAAGAATATAATAAAAAGAAAAGAAAGGTATAAAGAAATGACTTCACCCTCCACAACAAGTATACATAATTTTAGAAATTTAGCACCATTTCTGATAGTGTAACAAATATTCCTTCTTCCCATATCCCATCTCTTATCTGTAAACAAATCCTTAAAGCCTTGTTGTTCCATACTTACCAGTAAAAGTCCATTAAGAGTTACCAGAGATAACATATCTAAAATAGACATCTTGGTCAAATAAGCCAACTTTTCCTTTTGCTTTTAACATCTTGATCTGCAGTCCCTTGAATTTCACTTCCTAGAATTTGATTCCTT